TTTTCCTTTTCCAAGGCCACACTTAAACCCTAAATTTACACTCAATGATGGTCAAGCATTAAGCAGACAAATAAGCCCAAGATTAAGTAAGTAGAACTAATATTAAGCTCAAATAAATGATTCAAACATACTTTAATCCAATAATTAGTTCATAGTTACCTTAGATTAAAAGAAAAATAGCCATAAATGATTTATATGATAGCAAAATCAGCAATATATATTGCAAAGTCAAGAGAAGAAGGAGAAAAAAAGCTTAATCGGAGCAATCTTGAGTGAAACCCCTGATTTTCTACCAAACCCAAGCATCCCTAATGCTCTTTTGGCTCCTTTTACTCTCCTTGGATGTTCTGCAACCATTAGAGGTGAAGAATGCACGAAAATGAGGTGCTTAACTCCTAAAAGTTCACTGAAAATCAAAACTGTATGTTTTATTAAAATTGCGCTTCACTGTAGTAAACATGACTTGTTTAAATTTTCTTTTTAGATTTAATTTTCTTTAATTTAGGCTCCAAAATTTTCATCTTTGGGCCCCTAAATACATGCATCAAACCCATAATTAATAATAGAATTAGTCCACTACCTTCTAACACATTTTCAAGCCCATTTTCACACACAATCATCCACTTAATCATATTTTTGCTAATAAATTCAAACAAATGACTTTCAATTACATTAAAAACACAAATAAATTTAGTAAAATATTAGAAGTCATCATTAACCTCACAATGCAAAAAAAAGTTGATTAGAGATGAAAAATTTCATTGTTAATCAGTGAAAATTTTGTCTATAAATAGATTAGCAATGAAATATTTTCATTGATAAAAATACCATCACTAATTTGTTAACAATAGAATACTGACAAAAAATTTTCATCGATAAATAAGGATAAACTATTTTGACTTTGTGACATAATGCATTTTGTCACAAAATTTCTAACGGACTTATTCCATCGCTAATTTTTAAGGGGACCATCAAAACATTATTGTCACGTCACTCAGTAGACCAATGCTATCTTACTACCGCCTTGTCACCTAGTAGATCAATGCCACCTTAGCACCAACTCACCACCACCTCATCGCTATGTCAAATATTATTACCTTCAATTGTGCCTTAACCAAGTTCAAACCTGTAATCTCATACTAACTAGTGCCTTTGTGTCCACAAATCTTCAATCTTAATTGATAAATTAAATATATAATACTCAACCACACACGCATATATTAATAAATATATTATTTAAATTACTATTAAATATAGTATTTAAATTTAATTATTTTTTAACATTATATTTATTAATGTGAAAAGATTAATTTATATATCATAATTATTTCTATTATATTTTATTTTTTAAAAATTATTTTTGATAATAAATTTAATGTTAAATTTAAAAATATTTTATTATCATTATGTATTATATTATAATTTGTATCTATATAATATATAATATTTTAAATTTTTATTTACAAATTTTTTACTTTATTTTTATTTCTAAATAAGAATAATTAAGTATACAAGTTAAATTATTATTAATAATATACAAATAGTTTTGAAATAATAAATTATTTTAAATTATAATTTTTAAATTATTTATTTATAGCATAATAATAAATTGTATATAAATATAAATTATAAATAATAAAATTAAATTTAAAATAATTTGTGACAGAGTTAGTAATGGAATTACGACAGAAAGCCTTGTGACGGAATTTTTCACCACAAATTTCATCATTAAATTAGAATAAGATATTTTAAAAATTAGCAATGGAATTTCTCATTAATAAATTTTATTGGTAAATTATTCCTAATGAATTAATGATAGAATAATGACAAAATTTTGGTGACAGAACATTACATCACTAATTTAGTGATGAAATTAGTGATGAATTAATGATATAAATTTACTCTATCACTAAATTCCATCGCTAATTTTCTATTTTTTTGTAGTGTCATTTAATTTAGCTAATTAGAGTTTAATTTTTTAGGATGTTATATGTAAAAAAAAAATTTGAGCCAAGCCTAAGCCTGAATATCCAAATTATTTTTTATTATTAATAAAATGAAATTAATCTTCACTTCAACCTTCACCTAGCACTCCCAAACCCTCTCCCAAACTAAGAATTTGTACATTTCACATCCTAAATGAAGTTTCAATGCCCCAATAATTGTTTGTTTTAAATGTTTTGGGAAGATAGTAAGAAATAAACATAAAAGGTTATTTTATTTACTTTCATTTTTTACTCTTTCAATGTTTCGTCTCACATTAGTGAAGATAGGGAAAAAAAAAAGTGTTTGCCATATTATGTTGCATGAAAAATCTTAATTTCTAAGGTAAAAATTGAAATAAACTAAAAAAATAAAACAATGCTTAATAATTTGGGTATCTGGATTGGACTGAATATGTCTAAAAAGTTGAGGTATTAGAGCTAAGTTTGGCTATATATATTAACTTTTTTTATATGTGTTGATATTTCAAACCCAACCCACCTAAATTACCGCCCTACATGTTAGCCACTTTTGGCATTGATGTTTCTGGCTTGTAATCCTCTCATTTACAGACAATGAGTTTCATGATTTATAAATAATATGGTTAGAGCAATATTTGAACTTAATTACATATATAGTCACACAACACAACATATCCCAAAAGAACATGTAATTATGGCTGCGGCCAAATGGGCAGATCAGTATTTGATCATCATTCTCACTCAGCATCCGGCCACTGGGCTATGAATATCATATGTAATTCAATTGGCATTATATTTTTAAAAGTAGCATATTTACAAGAGAGGAATTAAATGACATACTAAAATGCCTTGGAACAATCTGTTTACATGGATTTGTAGAGACGACCTTAATTATACATGTATAACTACAACAGTTATACTACTCAGACACGTTTTAGTTTATAATATGATTAAACAGGACAAACACTAATGAATAGTTCACTATTAAGAACTTACCAGAAAATCATAGTAAACAAATAAAAAGGCCATTATACATAAAAAGAATTTGGTATATACCAAATGGTTTAGTCATGCAATAACTAGAAGGGAGTGCATCTATTACGATCATAGGGCATCTAACATATGTCTAGTGTCCTGAACCCCATGATGCCCCCTTTTCATTTCATTTGGTGGCTAGGATCATTTCATGCATTAATCAAAACTTTATCATTTTGATTGAGAGAATCCTGGCCGCTTGTTAAAATTACACTCGATTATCTAGTTGTGATTTATAATAATACTCAGAGACCTGTCTCGTGGCTCTTGATTACCGTTTCTTCCTTTGTTGTTCTGCTTCTGCTATTGTGTAAAAGGTTTTTGGTCTTTGGAGTAATTTGGAGCGTTATATATATAATTATTGATTACTGACAACGTTAGTTTCAAATTCTGTATATATAGGAAGAAAAAGTGCATGCCAAATTCTACAAATACGCAAAGGCAAAGTTAACCCGTTTTTGGATGCGCAGGTGCATGTATATAAACATCTCAGGTAGAATATCTATAACTACCAGTGACATGCTTCATTCCGCCTCTATTATATACGGCATTGTCTAAAAGTATTTTTTTGTCTTTAATATAAAGTATAGTATGAGGTATTAATTGTATTTTTTTTAATATTACCTTTGTTTCAACTCATGAATATAATGAAAATTAAAAAAATTATTTAAATAGAGATAAATTAAAAGTTTATTTTATTTTCAGAAAAATTAATAATTTAACTGCCTCTAATTTATTTTAGTGAAGTAGTTAAAGAGTGATAAAAGCAGTATAAAGTTGACTAAAAAAAAGGAAACAGTACATTTGTTTTGCTTCTGACGACGAAGCTTGTGACTTGAACAGTGACATGAATACTATTTGAAGATCAATCAACTGTAAGGAAACAGAGGACTTTGAGACCTATATACATGAGTTGAAACTTAAAAACACACCACCAACACGGACACACACACATATACGGAAATTTACGGAAATAATTTATTAACCCTATTATGCAGAGTTTTTTCAGAGAAACTTTTGCGGGTTAGAAAGATCTAGATGGAGAGAGAAAATGGGATAAAATTCGATGGGTCTCATGTGATAAGTAGTTAGGATTTACAAAACTCTCTATTTCTGTCTCTCCAATTAGACTCCAGGTCCATTAGGAGAGAACCCATTGCATTTTTCATAAGATGAGTATATCATCATATATAGGATCTTTCTGGGTGCCAAAAATATATATTCACAGTGTAAAATAAAAAGAAAAAAGCCAGGGCATCGGAATGGATTAACATGATCAATAGATAGATCAAAGCATTTTGATAATAATATAAATGCATAAAAGACAAATATATGATGAATGCACGGCGTGATGAATAAATATAGTTATGTTTAAATATAATGCAATATTTGCCGTATAATTTGATATGATATATGTGCAGATGCATGAATACTTTCTTGAGATTATTTCACATATATAATATTTAATCAACAAAATGTATCTAAACAATAAATGAAAGAAAAAAAATATGAACAATGTTCGGGCACACACCAGTCAAATATAATTTAAATACTTTCTTTACTGGTCCACAGAGATTATTATTAAATACAAATGTATGTATACATACTTTTTCAAAAAAGATAAGAACAGTTTACCCAAGGAAATATTCTGAAATTTCTAGATCCATTTTCTCTGTAAACAGCTGAATAGGCTATGATCATCATATTAGTTGCCTCTGAGACGATGCTTGTTTTCCCATTGATGTTCCTACCATATAAGCCATGCACAGAGAGATTCCCAGATCTCTCAACCCGGAAATAATTTAAAGACAACCAAAGGGTGTAATGATTCACGCTAGACACAGTCAAATTCTAGTTTGCGACCAAAACCAAATCGTGTGTGAATCTGTATACGCAACAAAATGGCTATAAATTGACCCTTCTCTCTGCCATTATTTACTCACACCATCAGATCTCTCTGGTTTATTAGCTAGGTCTGGTTCTCTTAGGGTTATTTCAGCCATGTCGACTTCAAGGAGGAGCAAGGGTCGCCAGAAGGTTGAGATGAAGAAGATGACCAACGAGAGTAACTTGCAGGTCACTTTCTCGAAGCGTCGCACTGGGCTTTTCAAGAAAGCTAGTGAGCTTTGTACTCTTTGTGGCGCCGAGGTTGCTCTCATCGTCTTCTCCCCTGGCGAGAAGGTGTTCTCTTTCGGCCACCCCAGCGTTGACACCGTGGTGGATCGCTACCTCACGCGAGCCCCACCGCCACAGACCTCCGGCACCATGCAGCTCATCGAGGCTCACCGCAACGCCAACGTGCGCGAGCTCATCGGCCAGTTTACTCAAATCTCTACCCAGCTTGATGACGAGAAGAAGCGCAGTGATGAATTGAATCATATGCGAAAGGCCACTCAGGTATCTAGAGCCTTCACCTCATGATCCAACCAATGTAAATTCAAACTGATCATTCGCTTCTTTTTTCGAAAGAAGATCAGTATTAAGCTTGGCCAAGAGCTTTTAATGTGTCTTTCTAATTTGCCTTCTGTAATGGTCTCTCATCAATTTCAATTTTTTTCTTTAATTTAATTTCTTTAAATGGTTCTTTTATGTAAAATAAGAGGTATTTTCAAATGCTAAAGTCCTGAAACGATGCAAAACTCTCCCATTTCAGTATTTTAAGATATCAAAATGTTTTTTATTTTATGTAGTTAATGATCCAAAAGAAAAAAAGTAAATTAAATTAGGACAGTGGGGTATTATAAAAAAACATTGGAGAAAAGCACGTGAGAAACCTTTAGCCAGTTAAACTTGAGCCTCAAAGTAGATATTTGCTTGAGCATTTTTGTGTCCATGTTCACTTATTTAGTTAGAAATATTGAAGGTTATTGATTAATATTCAAATTTATAGGGTCAGTGCTGGTGGGCAGCCCCAATAGAAGAAATGACAAAGTCACAGCTTGAGGAGTTCAAGATGGCATTGGAGGAGCTAAAGAGGGGTGTGACGAGGCAGGCTGATCGGATGGTACTGATTCAAAGTGCAAGTAACACATCAAATCAGTTTTTGGTCGGCGGTTCTTCTTCCAATGTGGTGGCTTCGCCTCTACTGTCTCACCAGGGGTTTCAGTCGCTGCCACCACCAGTGGGTCAGAATAATCCTGCTGGGTTTGATGGCAGCCATGGATTTGCAAGACCAGGGTTTTACTGATATCTCTGCAAAATAATGTCATACAATCTAAGTCCTCAGAATGACTATACATGATAGATGCCCTTTTTAGGATCAAAACTGGCTTAATTTGTTTTATTCTAGCTTCCTTTTTGGGTTTGGATCTTCTGAATTCTTGAGAAACTCGAGTGTGAAATTCTTGGGTTGTGCATCGATAATACTCCTTTAAATAAAATTATACACTAAAGTTTTTCAAGGTTTAGGGATTCAAATTTGTTTTATTATTACATCATTGTGCCTATAGTTATGGGTTTGTCAATGCCTTGTGTTGTTAGTTGTTCCAGGATGTGTTGTATGTCATTCGGGGAAAAATTATATGTAATTTCATGTTGTTGTAATAAAAGGCATCTGATTTAAATTTCAAGTGCATTTATATTAATTTCTTCAAACCTGAGTAATCATACTAAAGTATTAAATTAGTTCGTTGAATCGAACTTGAGCGCACCCTCGTACTAGAATAAGATTTGGGATTGTTAACTTGACCATTTCCTCATTAGTATATGTTTGGATTAGTTTTTAACTGAGGTTAGGATGGGCTAACTAACGTTGGGATGTAAAAAAGCCAAAAAAATTGTTTGGATGAGCAAAATATTTTAACCTCAGTTTAGGTCAAAATGAGCTTTTTCTCTAAAGCCATCAGACCTGGCTTCTATATTCACATAAGCGTTAGCGTTGACATGTTGCTCGCACAGTCACAGTCCAAGGTCTCAGTCTCTACTCTCTTCGTCCCTTGCATAGTTGTACTCTCGGTCTCTCTCTCACGGAATCATGGTTGTCGCTCACGGCATGGTTCAGGCTCACCAGACCAGTCACTCTCATGGCCTCACCCCTCAGCCTTCTTCTTCTTATTTGAGTTTGAGTGCTCCCTCTCACTCTTGCTCATGGTCATGGACTTACGGCTTACTAGTGCTAATCACCCTCACCCCTTGGCCTTCTTCTTCTTTGAGTTTGAGTCTCTCTCAATTTTCTCACACTCTTATTCGCTCGCTCTTAGTCTCTCTTAGCTTCTTTCCTTTGCCTTGTCCTTGGGAGTATGTGTTTACTGTTGCTATAGTTGTCACTTGTCGTTGGTCATCCTTAATCGTTGGGTGTCGCTAGTTGATGGTTGTCCCTAGTCGCCGGTCCAAGTCGCGCTGCTCAGTTCGCCATCATCACCCTAGCTTTGCCTTTGTCACTACTTCTTCATTCTCTTTATCGCTTCAAGCTTGCAGATCATGTTTAGCTTAGAGAAAGATTTTTTTTTATATAGTCAAGAAGTATTATAAATTTTTTACCTATTAGTTGTAATTTTAAATTTAATATTTTTAGTCAAAAAATATATACAAAAAAACTATACTTATTTTTATTATTAAACATCTCAACTGGCTTTTAAAACAAATCATTCAAACGAATTTCAATTTATCTAATTAAATTTTGAAAAAAAGTATCCAAATATAAATCATGTTACATTAGTTGACTTCCCTTCTAACTTTATTTTGCTAACCTTAGTTGAATTGTAACGTTAATTGTAAATTTTTTAATCCAAACACACACTTAATTAGCTATACCGTCACACCACATTTACCTAAAAAATGGTGTAGCCAGAAATGTGATATAAAAGCTAATGGCTTTGTGATCTAATGGCATGTAAAACTCCCTTATTAATGAAAGGTTACAAGTTGAATTCCATGCCTGTTGGTACCTGCTCCTCTAATTAAAAAAAGAAGAAGAAGAAAAGGAAAAGAAGGGATGTGATACAAGAGAATGATAAATGGTTATGTGTGAAGGTATAATTACTTTGGTCAATATTGTTCAGCTTGTAATACCATAACCTATTAAACTACTCCCTCTAGTTTAATATTATAAGGCATTTTTTATGTTAATCTCACTCTTCAATGAGTTGGTTAATTATTTTTTAAATTACATACTTGTTTTTATATGTTTATTCATATTTAATGAAGTGTCTTGATTAAAAAAGATTATTAATCATTACCCTAATTAAAGGTATTTTTTTAAAAAATAATTCCACTTTGAAAGACCTAAAATATTTTATATATTTAAACATTTACCTTAGAAAAAATAACTTATATTTTTAAATGGTGGGCGTATATTTTCTCTCATGAATAGGCTCCAAAATAATATTATCTTTCTCCCAAAAGAAAAGAATTTGACCCCAGACTACCCCGTAGCAAAATTGAATTTTGGAATGTTTTATTTTTCACTTGCAAGTTCATTTTTTTAAAATTATGAAAATGTGATGAAATTATCATTTGGTCTGTTGTGTAAGATCGATATACTTAACTAGGTCTTTTTTTTGGGCTGATGTTGATAAGAAGAATCTTAAATTTACATTAAAAAAGTGCCAACCCTAAATATAATTGACTTTTACTTTTTTTTTTATATGATAGTATTATTGGGTTTAATTGAGAATAGCTCTTTTAATGGTCTTTTTGTCATTCACACATACTCAATACTTGAGATCTCATTCTTAAACAATCATTACTCATTCTATTAGGATCAATACTCATTGGCTTCTATTCTTAATAACAAACCAAAATAGTTATGGATTCAAGAAAGTCATGATGTTTGATATTCAATCATGAATGGAACACAAATATGGGCTTAAGTAAGCTTTCGCCTTTTGATGTATTAAATATAGGGGGAAAGAAACAAGAATGATGCACAAGTCTCATTTAAAATAATTAATTACTTTCAAGTCCATTGACAATTGAACTTAGGAGAATGACAGCACAAGATGTGTTGGCAAGCATGAGGTTTCTTCTAAAAAATAATAAGATATCTCTTCTTGGGTCTCTCATACAAAACAGAACAAGGCATTTAATTTCATCATTCTTTTATAAATGTTATTATTTGATTCCCCATCATATATGTTTGTAGAAATAATCAAACGAAACACTACAACTGTTGATAGTATAATGATTTTGTGGTAAAAAAGAATAATAAAATGATTATCAAATAGCAGGGACATATTCAGAGTCCTATGCATTGGAGGCAAAATTATTCAAAGCATATAAAATATTACGGGATAAAATTAATTTTACTATTTTTTGCACTCAAAAAAATTGAACTCCATACAAAGGAAATAGAAATTATGAGGGGCTTGCAGGGGCCAAATTTGTAATTGGCAAATATTTATATATATTTTATTCGAGCAGCAAAGTGTTGGCATATACGTGGAAAGTGCAACATTAAAGGTTAAAACTTTCCTAAAAATAGAATTATATATATATATATTCTCCTACATTTATCTTGTCGCCTAGAAAAATAAAAATCAAATGCATTTCTTGCCACTTGATTTATCCAATGATTCAAATGCTCTCGAAGTCATAAAACTTTAGAGAATGAGAACTTCAGATAATTTTCATCCATATTCCTATTGTCCATTTTCCAAATTCTCAAAAGAAATTACAGCTAGCACATATAATGCATATAATTGTCAACATCGATGTTCCAACTAAAGAATGCCCTCTTAGTTAATGTGCGTATAATATGACAATTTATAATACATTATTGTTTTCCCATAATGTCCATTATCACCTTAATCAAAATAAATGTGCAACGCTGCAATACCGATCATACATATCCCTTGTTCAGTTCTGCATGTTTCATTTCATGTCTCTTCCAACGGATTTCGACAGTGTGGCCAATTAACATGTGATGAGTAACTGCAGACAACACCTCAATTATAAACTGTATAATTTTAATTTCAAGAAGTCAATATACAGTCATAACATATCCGATAATTAATCATAAAATTAATTAAAATGATTTGCAAAAGTCAATACTATCTTTTTATAATGCCTGCAACTAGCGTAGATGTAGGTGATGGAGGTTTCACATACAATATACATAATAGACATTAAGATAAAAGATTTTATAACTCCCTTACTGGACTATAAGATAAATAACAATAATAAAACATTAAGATGGGACAATTAATTTGGTTAATCAAGTGCCATAAACCAAAAGTCCATATCACACAAATAAATACCCATGTTTCCATTCCAAATAATCTCGCTCGAATCCTAAATCCATTATAGCAAGAAGCATTTGGTTTCATACATCATTTTTCTTTCTAACATGGCGATGAACAAAAAGTGTAGCTCAGGTCGTCAAAAGATTCCGATTGAGAAGATACCAAAGAAAAGCAATTTACAGGTCACATTCTCGAAGCGTCGTTCAGGACTGTTCAAGAAAGCCAGTGAGCTTTGTACGCTTTGCGGGGTTGAAATCGCCATTATAGTATTCTCACCAGCTAACAAAGCTTTCTCTTTTGGCCACCCAGGAGTTGAATCCATAATCGATCGCTATCTAGTTTCTCGAAAATCATCGCACCATGCAGATCATGGCTACTCATCATCATCGTCATCAATCATCAGCAGTAGTGACGTTCATCGGAATTCTAACGTTTGTAATCTTAATATGCAGTTGACGCAGATTCTTAACCAGGTCGATATGGAGAAGAAGCGAGGAGAAGAACTTGATCGAGCGAGGAAAGTGAGGCAGAGAGAGTTCTGGTGGGAGAGTCCTATCGATGAGCTTGATTCAGTTGATCAGTTACAGCAATTGAGGATTGCAATGGAGGACCTCAAGAAGGATGTGTTAAGGCAAAACAGAACTTTTTCTACTTCTTGTTCATCGTCGTCACAGATCATTGTCGGGGAAGATTACGGGTTATTCGAACGTTACGATGATGTCGTCTTTGACAAGAAGTTATTATTAGGTGGTGCTGAGATTAATGTTGCTGCTAATTCGTCCGGTGTTATTCCTGATCATGATGCCTTTAATAACCTTATTTACCAAAACCACGACATGGGGATCTTTAAGTTCACTTCACAGTTCTGATTATCTTCTTGGTTTAATTTTTTATTTTTTCCTGGGGGATTAATGATCAACTAGTACCTCACTGGCTTTCACTGCCTCCCTTTAATTATTTTATTTGCTTCTATATATTTTTAATTAATAATGATTCTGGAAGAATTTTGTTATATCTCATGTACGTATAATTGCAAATAAGTCTTCCTATGATCCTCTGATTTTCTCTGAATGTTTATTTATTTATTGATTCTTTTATTATATATTCCTGTTAAAAAGTATTTATGTCTCCAAATAATATGGTGTCTGTTTTTGTGCAAGGCATCCTTAACAAAAACATTTTCTTTATAAAAATTATATGATCTATATTATTGATTTTGTGTAGTTTTTATGGACTGAGCTTTGAAGTTTCTTCGGCGGAGAAGCAAAAATCTTTCAGTTTCTCCAAAAATCATATTAAATTCAACTCATTGAAATCTATATCAAGTATATACACCAATAATAAGGTTATACCTATTTCTCCTCCTCCTCACAAGCCTTTTTTAATTAAGGCGAGTGTCCACAACACACACACACACACACACACACACACACACACACACACACAAATACTTGTGTTTTAATTTGATGAAGCTCAGTTCAGTTTCCATTAACCTGTTAAACAATTTATAATATCATTCTCTTTCCGATTACATTTGAATGGGTTAGGGACACCAAATTAATTTAAAAAATAAATACAGCAAGAGTTTGCAAACCACCTAATCACTTTTTTAAAATATTTCCAACTTCAGGGTCAGATATTTTAAAACAAAAGTATTAGATCCTGCGTCTAGACGCCATATTCAATTATCTGTAAAAAATTACTCCAAACTTTAACACAAAACCTTAAAATATCATGATTTTTTCTTTTTTTTTTGTTGGGGAAATCATCGTATTATTTTGGAGTGATGACATTTTTTAATTGAATGTGTTTTGGTAAAATACACATCAAAATTTATTCACAATTGAAGACCATGCAATACAATGATATGATAATTTCAAAGGATTTTATGATGTTATGTACTTAATTGAGTCTAAATTTAATTATTATATTCTCATATAAGAATATCTAAGTGATTAATTGTATTGATTCCTCATGTGTGGTTATCCAACCAGAAGGGATAGAAATTCTTGCATATGGATCTAGCCCACCGTGTCATTCATATACTATCTAATAAAAACTTGCTATATCAAATTTATTTAGTTTTATATATTATTGTTTATTTATGTCACTTTAAATTATTTTTAGTTTTTGCATTTTCTCCCCCCCTCATTTACAAAGATAATAGAAAGAGAAATAAAAATTTAAAGAAATACTCTATTAAAAAAGTCATTAAACATAATAACATATACAATTTTATTTAAATAAAGGGCAAAACTTATATACTTTACTTTATATACTTAATATATTTTTATCCAATCAAATCAAGACTTATATATTTTAATATGTTAATAATATTAATAACAAGAAATTTTTTATAGAATAAAATCTATAAAAAGATATACATGTATTAATTTAATTAAAAATAAATATTTTAAATATATAAGGCTAAGTATATGATTTTTTTTCTTAATTAAATTGGTGCAATTTTTTGGGGTAAAAACTGGTGCAATTTTATTAAATAAAATATGGATAAGTTGGTGCTCTTCTCGATGCAAGAATTTCGCCCAAAAAAATCCAAAGCGAGGCAAAGCGAAATTGGTAGGCCGATTCCATAAGTGGAAAAATCTCAATTAAAAATCCCTTTAATTGTTATTTGGGTTTCTCTTAATGACCTATTTTCGAAATCAATTGATTTGCCTTCTTAACCAATTTGCCCATTGATGATATGAGCTTCTTCACGAGGTGCATTTTAGATTAGGACGACAGAAGTCAACTGAATTTAATCTCTGAAATCACAGAAAGAAATACCGACTCTTTTTTATTTGCATAAAAAAGAAATAACCGACACTACACAGATTTTTGAGTTGAATGAGATGATCTTGATATAAAACATTTATATCAAATTAAAAAATTAAATTATGCCAATTCAAAAAAAAACTCAATGAAATGAAAGTTTAAGATAATTTATTTCTTTCCAGTTATATTTTTATATTTTTATAACAAATTATGTAATTTCAACAATTCTAGAGTACTTATTAAAAGAATTAAATTCAAATTATCAAATCGATATACTACCCGAGCGGTGCTTGATTTAACTAATTGAAGAAGTCAAATCAATTTATTTTAAAATTTTAAATTCAAGTCCTAAAATATATAATGTAATAAATATAATGTAATAATTTTATCATTAGCAAAAAATACATTAGAGATATAGGTCCCTTTTTGGATATAATAATCAAATATGACACAAACACGCAAAGAGGTAAGATTTCTCTGCCCAACTTTATGAGAGGGCTCAAGTTATAACCATTTCTATTTGTTAATGAAAGCTACCACAGGAGAGAGATAAACTAAAAAATGATTAAAAAATGTCATATTAATTATTAATGTGATGAGGACAATACATATATAAGGAGGAAAAGATAACTTAAAAAAGACTATTTACAATAATATCTTATTAAATAATATCTTTTCAATGATGAAAAATAATAAATAGTAATATATCTTTAAAATATTCTAGATAACATCCCCCTTTAAACTTAAGATGGTTTAATAGAGAGCAATTTAAATTTATCTACTAAAAACTGAAAGTGACTTGGATGAAAAAACTTTATAAACAAGTCTACCGACTAATATTTGATTCAAATTGGAACAAGTCGAATGGTGCCCTGAACAACATGCTGCCGAGCAAAGTGACAGTCAATCTCAATATGTTTGGTCCACTCATGAAACATATCATTGTGAGTAATTTTGATTGCAGCTTGACTAACACACTAAATGTCAATAGAGGCTCCTAACTCATAAAGTAACCAACGAAGCCAAAGTAACTTAGTGACAATGTTTGCTAGTACACAATATTTCGATTCAGCATTGGAACGAGAGGCTAATGTCTACTTCTTACTTCTTCAAGAGATAAATGAATGATTGAGGAAGATAAAAAAACCCATTGTAAATTATCGATCATCACAATCACCACTCCAATCGACATCAGAATAAGCTTGCAGTGCAAGAGAGGAGCTAATAGAGAAGTGAAGCCCATGATAAGGATATCTCTGATATACCGAATGATCCAAAGAACTGTTGTATATTGAGTTGTGTGAGGCTCAACTATAAACTGGTTGACAACGTGAATTGCATAAGTAATATTAGGATAGGTGACAATAAGATAGATGAGGCCCCCAACCAACTGTCGATAACAGGTAAGATTATTCAATAAGGTACTATTAGTGAAAGTATAGTGAATATTCAATTCAATAGGAGTAGTTCCAACCCCCTTGTTAGAATGGTGAGCTTGAGATATCAAATTAGTGGCATACTTGACTTAAGAGAAAGATATACCATAACTCTCATGGTGGACCTCAAGCCCAATAAAATAGTTTAATCTGCTAAGATCCTTCATTTCAAATTGCTAGCCCAAGTATGTCTTGAGCTTCTGAACTCCCGTATCATTACTTCCTATGATAATGATGTCATCAACATATAATGAACAATACCATTAGCAGTAGAGTAAACAAAAAAATGGCTTAGTGAGGACTACGAGTAAAATCCAGTTAATTCATAATGTTACTAAACTTAACAAACCATACAAATGGAGCTTTCTTGAGCCCAAATAAGGCTTGATGAAGATGAAAAACATTGTCTTTTGGATGTTAATATCTAAGCGGTGGCTTCATATACACTTCTTCTTCTAGATCTCCATTTATAAAGGCATTTTTAACATTCATTTGATGAAGAGGTTGGTTCTTAATAGCAACAATGGCTAGAAGGCCGCGAACAGAAGTCAAACAGGCAACAAGAGTAAAAGTCTACTCATAGTAAACACTATACTCCTAAGTGAATCCTTGGACCACTAAATAGGCCTTACATTGCTTCAAAAAGCCATTAGAATGTGTTTTGTTTTTGTACACCAATCGACACCCATCAATATGCATCTTTTCCAAGGCTTGCAATTCATCAGCCATAACTTGCTATAGCCAAATCTTTAGAATATTTTGGATAATAGTTAAGTTATAATTTTGTTAGTAATTAAGTTATACTCCTCTAGTCTCTATTATAATAAAATCTTGCATAGATTCGATGTATCACATCATCCATGATCTGTCAAATAAAAACATGCCATGTTAACACCAGTTGAATCAAATAAAATCTTACTCCATCTGTTTTAAAAATGTAAGGCATTTTTAACCAGATCTCACCCTCTAATAAATTAGTTATCTACTTTCAAACTAACCCCATCTTTTCATATTTACCCCTATTAAACACCCTACAATAAATATAAAGTTATTCATTAATAGGGGTACTTTTGAAAACAAGGCAATGATTACACCTTGAAAGATTAAAAATACCTTATATTTTTAAATATTCAACTCTTAAAAAAATGCTTTTACATTTTTGAATGGAGGGAGTATGTGTTATTATTTTTAATGAATTTATTTTTAGAAATTTCATTTCTTATTTTCTCTCTCTCTATTATCATCAGTGACAGAATAAATTTATGTTTACAAATTACAACTATCTTACATGTACAGATCACAAATAACGTGGTGTATTAGATTCATGTAATAATTTTTCATTACAAGGTACACCTAACAACTTCACCAGAACCAATAAAATATGGTCAAGTTATTAGCTTTATCTTAAAATAGAATAAACTTTCACTTTTATTTCTACTTGAATAAAAAATTCTAAATTTACATTATATTTTCTCTTACGATAAAAGAATTTAAATATAGGTAATATTGAAAAAAAAAACATATTCAATGCAGCATCAAGTGCTTTAAGAACTAAAAAATATTTTTAAAATGTGTTTTATAATAAAAACCGGTAGTGTATATGATTAAATATTTGTCCAAAGTTTAACTATTAATTTGCTCTAATATTTTTTTTTTTTATCTGGCCACAATTTGCTCTACTATTTTTCAGTCGAATCAAATTATGAGAAAACTATCTTAATCCTTGCAATAAATGAAGGGCTATATTAAAAATAAGCTAATTCAAAATAAATGTTGCCTTCATTACCTTCACATAATTAGTGTCAAAATTACAATTTCAAAATCAAAGAAACAAGCAAATTAAAGGCTCATTTAACATCCACCAAAATAAAAGCCCTCTTGAAAGGAGAAAGGAACGGAATTAAAATCTACTATCATAATTACCAAGATTTTATTAATAATCATAATCATAATTTAATATAATAATATAATATTATAATCTATATGATTCAAAATCTTAGACTCAAACACGAAACTTTCCTTTATAAATAAATACGTAATTGCTAGCTACAACTTTCTACACCACCTTGATCACTTGCTTGCTTCTTCAAACAAAATTCCATATCCCCCTCTTCTTCTCCTTGATCAGCCATGGATCTTCTGAAACAAACCAAGAAAACGACAACCACAGGTCGCAAGAAGATCGAGATAAAGGAGATAGACAAGGACTCGAACAAACAAGTTACCTTCTCAAAACGACGCACCGGACTGTTTAAGAAAGCCAGCGAGCTCTGCGTCTTGTGCAATGCTCAGGTCGCCATGATCGTGTTCTCGCCGGCCGACAAAGCCTTCTGCTTTGGCCAACCCAACGTTGAAGCCGTCCTCCTCCGCTACCTCCGCGGAGGAACAGAAGACCACGACGAACCTGCTATCAGGCAGGCGGCGAGCGAGACCAGTCCGGTGTATTACGAGGAACTTAACAGACAACACGAGGAAGCAGTGAAGGCGTTGGAGATGGAGAAGCAACAATTGGAGGAGATAGAGAATGTGGCTAAGGTATGGAACAGAGGAAACTGGTGGGACGAACCGATTGATGAGATGGATTTGGATCAGTTAGAGCAGTATGTGGTGGCCATGCATGAGTTAAGAAGAAAGGCGGCTGAGAAGGCCGATGAGATGATGAGGGTTGCGATAATGCCGTCGGTGCCATCGTTTTACGGAGAAAGTTCATTGGGCGGTCTTCTTAATGGAGGTGGTGGCTATGGCGGTTTTGCTAATAACCAGTTTGGTGGCGGTGGTCTTGTTGCTTATCATGACAAGTTCGAATTTTGATGTGAAAAGTGCAATAATATCAGAAATAAAAGAGAGGTGATGGGATCGTCTCGATCTCTTTGCTCTTCCAGTGTTGCTTTGTTTTTCGCCCTGGTGAAATGAGAATGTTAGTTATTATTGTTAGTTCATTACCTCAATGCCGTTTATATATAATCTCAGTCTCGGAATCTCTGTAATTGATATAGTTATAAGTTCTCAGATCAAACAAGACAAGTGATCTCCCATTTTGTATATGTTACTACAGCCAAACCAAATTAGCCTCTTCAAAGTGAAGAGTGAAGACTATTCCAAAACCTCCACAGAAGTAGTTTTTTAAGAAAACTAGTAAAAAGAAGAAAAAAAAATAAGGGTTAATTTTTAACACTGGTTTGATTTATTTTTGTTTTTTCCTTTTCTCACTTTAATTTGCTGGTTGTTCCATGGGGTTAAATTTTTCCCCAATTTATCTTTTAATCTTATATGAGTATTATTTTTGTGCATAATAATAATAATAATAATAATAATAATAATAATAATTTATTAAATATTAATAACTATAGGGATATTATAAACTATTTATTAACATGAATTCTTGATAATCTCAAATTTGAAAACAATGAGTATGGTTATATATATACACTCTTGTACAAGGAGTATACATATAAACTATACTCATATTCATTCTCCCAGAAAATTAGCCTCTAGTAGCTTCAATCTTAATAAATATGTTCCCGATTAATATTAATTGCCTGTGTTGAATGTGGTCAATTTATTAATGCTAAAATATACAATAAATTTTCTTTGAGCTTTCAGGAATGCCCTAATTCTAAAGAACCCTCAGAACTTGACTCATCTAATTTTTTTGCATAAAAAAATATACAATAAAATCAATAAAAAGTGGTTCAAAATATATCCCGTGCGGCCTTAACTCTTAACCCAGGGAAATTGTTGTTTACTTTGTCTCATGCACAAAAATTTTAAGCTATGAAATGTGTTTTTTGACCTTCAAATCATGAAACGTTCTAATTCTTCATTTTCTAATAATATTTTGATATTAACATATAAAACAGTATGTATGTACTACGATAAACCTCCGTTTTCAAATATAAAAGAAACAACTATGTATCTTTTTGTTTTTATTTATAAGCATAGCTGCAAATTTCAAGAATTATTTATCACATTTTTAATTACAAATTTATTTCATTAATTACAGTGATAATTTAATTCAAAAATTTTAATTACAGACAATTTAACCAACATTTTTAAAAGGTACCAGTTAGTTGTTTTTTCGTACTATACGTGAAAAGGGAGAGAGTATTAATTTAATTAGATTTGCAATTATTAAACTTCTCAGCAGCCTCCGCAAATTGGCCAAAAAAAAAAAAAAAAGCTAGCCTCCACTCATTCAATGTTTTAACATTTTATTAAGTGCCCGTCAAGACATTAACAATGCGTTTTTGAGACATGTTCCATTTTAATTGGTTACATAAGAGAAATCAAAGTCGTCACTGTTCGGGATATAATTGGGGATAATCTCTTCTCTATGGTTAAAGAATTGTGGGTTGGCAATCCTTTAGATCCCTCATTGAATCGTACTTTAATGGCTCTCATTCCAAAAATTGATAAGCCACAATACTTGCTTGAATTTCAACCTATTACCCTCTGTTCTGTTGCTTACAAAGTTATAACCAAGTTTCTGGCTAATCGTATTAGTCCCATATTACCAGAATTATAGCTCCTTTCCAATCTAGCTTCATTCATAATAGAAGCATCATTAATAACATTGTTATAGCTCAAGAGGTCATGCACTCTATGCATAAGAAATCTAGGAAGACAGGTTGGATAGCAATCAAACTTGATCTTGAGAAGACTTTTGATAGATTACGTTGGGATTTTATTGAAGACACCTTACGTGATGTGGGTTTCCCATACCCTTTGATCAGACTTATCATGAATTGCATCACCTCCTCCTCCATGCAAATTTTGTGGAACGGTAAACCTTGGGGTCCCTGTATCCCCATGAGAGGTATTAGACAAGGTGATTCCCTCTCTCCCTAGCTATCTCTTTGTTTTGTGTATGGAGAGACTTTCCCAGGCCATAACTATTGTTGTTGATGATGGAACTTGGAGAACCATCAAAATGGGAAGAAGAGGTGTCCCACTCTCCCACCTTTTCTTTGCTAATGATTTGATTCTCTTTAATGAGGCTTTGATCTCTCAGGTTGAAGTAATCTCTAAGGTGCTACAACAATTTTGTGACTCCTTTGGGCATAAAGTTAGCCAGTCGAAGACTCAGATCTATTTCTCAAAAAATGTCAGCCACAGTCTTGGACGTGCCATCTGTACTAAATTGGGTTTTAGACACACTACCACCATTGCACGTTATCTGGGTGTCCCTTTCATCAATGGTAGAGTTACTTCTCGATCGTATTATTATATCCTTGACAGACTACAGCAAAAACTATCAGGATGGAAAAGCCACACACTCTCCCTTGCTGGACGAATCACTTTAGCCAAGTCAGTCCTTAGCTCCATCCCTTTATACACAATGCAAAGTTCCTTACTTCCTATTTCGACCAGCAAAGCAATTGAGAAATTGATCAGGAAGTTTATTTGGGGATATAATGAAGAGAATAGAGGAATTAGCCTTGTAAAATAGGCTGATCTTTGCCAACCTTTGCTCAATGATGGATGTGGCTTACTCAATCTGGAAGCCCAGAATAAAGCCTTTATATCAAAACTTGCTTACAGAATTGTTTCTCAACTTGATCTGTTATGGGTCCAAGTCTTGAAAGGAAAATATAGACTGACTGATAGGTGCCCTATGGATATTAGTTGACGTAACTGCTCTTCACTGTGGAGGAACATCACAAATGTTTGGCAAGATACAATTATGCATGTTAAGTGGAACCCTGGAAGCGAAAGTAGTGTCAAATTTTGGTCTGATTATTGGATTGGGAACTCGGGCCCTTTAAAACTCTTTGCTTTCTCTGACATTTCAACCTCTAATCTGAATAGGCCAATAACTGGTTTTTTGGATAATATGGGTCAACGGCGTTGGTCTCTGTTTCAACACCTTCTTCCTCCACATATCCTCCAGGTTATTGCTGCAACCCACGTCAATGTGAATGACAAGGAGCAACCTTCTTGCTTTTGGAACCTCACGGCCAATGGTGACTTCACCATAAAATCCTTTTACAAGAATTCTCTATTATTGAACTGGAATGAAGCTGATATGAAATGGAAACAAGTTTGGAAATTGCCAGTAGCACAAAGAGTTAAAACTTTTATGTGGCTACTCCTAAAAGGTAAATTACTTACTAATGTTGAGCGTTTTAAACGCAATATGTGTTCAGACCAGTCTTGCTCCTTATGTCCTGGATCTGAGGAGTCCATTGAGCATATCTTTAAGAACTGTCCACTTGCTGCTGCAGTCTGGAAAAAAGTCCTGCCAGTGGATATGTGCCTTGATTTCTATGGGACTAATCTGGATATTTTTGGTTTTCCAAACTCTTACAGAATAAGAAAATTGATGTGTCTTGGAAATTTGGGGTTAGTGTCTTATGCTGGAAAATTTGGGAAGCCAGAAACTTAAGAATTTTCACTCATGAATCTTGCACTCCTGAAGGTGTCTTGCGCCAAGCTCGGACCATTGTTGATCATACCATCAAATCGTTTAATCTTTTCTCATCTCTGATGTAATTGTTTCTTTTCTTGCTTGCTGTTGTTTTATTCTTTCCTTCTCTGTACAGCTTGGACCCCTGTTAGTTTATTTCTTTTAATGAGATATTCCCCTTTCACTCGAAAAAGTCATCACTGTTCATCTCGTCATCTTAATGGAAGGCATATTAACACAAATGCGTCACACAAGTGTATGCGTTAAGGTTTAATTTATAAATACAATTATACAAAAAGCAAAAAATAAAAATTGGACCAACATACAAGTATTAAAATTTGAGTGATGCTTCTTCTATTCTTAGTATTAGTACGAGTTTGAAATAAAGTATACTTCTTAATTATATGGCGTGTGAAGAATGTGATTTATTATATATTTTATTATGTATGATATATTGATTTTTTATTGCAATTTTTTTAGAAAAGATATAATTGGAATTAAATATTAAAGGTAATATAATATTTATATTCCTATATTATACCATCAATGAAATAAACCTAGTATCTTATAAAAATAATTTGGGGAAAATTAATCTGCAGGTCCTTTTAGCTTTTCCCAATTTTAAATTAGATCCTTATATTTTTTTTAATCAGGTCCTTATAGTTTGATTGATTAAATATATAGTTTCCAAAAATTAAAATTATTAATGAATGTTTAATTTTTCAAAATAAAAATAATTTTAAAAAATTTATAGAAAATTTGATTTAATAATTTTAGCCAGCAATTTTGATTAAATGCAATACTTATATTGTTATTAATTTTCTATGAAAATTCTATTTACATAGACACACAAAAGTTATTTAGAAAGCATAACATAATTATATAAATTTTGAATTATAAAAATCAATAAATTAATTCTAAAATATTATACTTCCTATTAAATATGGATAAATATAAAAAGATAGTGTTAGTTTAAAAATAAATAATTATTTTATTAAAAATATTTAATTAAAAATACTTATATCTTTAAACAGAAGGGGTAATATTTTAATAAACATATAGAAGCCCTTAATTTCATTTTTTTAAAAAAGAGAAAATTAAAGGATTTTAACAATTAGAGATTTACAAATTTAATCGACTAAATTATAAATACTTGATCAAAATAAAATAAAGTGTGAGGACTTAACTCAAAATCATGTAAAATTATAAAGACTTTTGGATTAATTTTTTTCAACAAATTATTATATATGATAACATCTAAGATGATAAATAAAAATAAATTATTATATATGATAACATATAATATAAAATAGAAATATGGGATGGACATTTCAATGAGAAGATCAAAAAGATTAATTGTTTTGTATATTCAAACATTATTTAAAATATACTTCCTGGTCTATAA